CTCCATGCTAAAACCCATCTCTGTGTGCTGATGTCAGAGGGAGAATACTTTTACAGCTAGTTCTACATTTTATAATGAAGATTGGTGAAAACATTGCTGGGTTTTCCAGAAGATGTAGTCTGGAATTGGTTTATGTGGCGGAACAATTGTCCAGTTTGAGCTCAGGTAGTGATGCTGAGGAGTAAGGAAGCATCACACACCGTTTTTTTTACATTTGGCCCTTGATTTTACGTTATTACATCATGTTCTACTCACCCATATGAGTCTTGTGTCATTTGGAGCCGTTCTGAAGAAATTCAGTTTTGTTAAATCCAAGTACCGTCTTCCTATGGGCGATCGACTTGAAGGCACAAACTAAACTGTTCATAATTTATTCTTTATGGTAAGACAGCATTCATAACATGTAGGCGAATCACTGTCCCCCAGACATCTGCGGTTATATTTTTTAATATTTATATGTTTTAAAAACAAAGCGGAGTGTGTATGACGTCATCCCCGCATGCAGACTGGAGTTGTGACAGGCAGCCCGGGCCACAGGCGGCTACGCTCTAGCCCTTATATTAATTTGGCTAGCTAATCTGAATCGTTCAATTCCATTTCAAGAGCGAGATCATCTGTGGTAGTAGCACTAGACATCTTCCAGGAGTGTGAGTAAAACTAGCTGCAGTTCAGCGGACAGGATGAATGAATGGTAGCCGGCACATGGTTGAGTAGAACATGATCCAATAACGTAAAATCAAGGGCCAAATATAAAAAAAAAAAAAAAAAAAACGGCGTTCCCCTTTAAAGGTCAGAACCATCCACAGCAGATCTAGCCTTAGACTCAGACTATGAGCTGGAAGGTGGCAGCTAATATGACGCCCCGATAAAAAACATACAGAGGAGAAACACTGCTTTAAAAGCCTCTGGTACAGATAGTATAACCAGTTATTAATTTATAAGATATGAATTAGCTTATAATACTTTAACTGAATCCTCCACCGCTTTTACAAGAAATTATCTACTATAGTCTTAAAGGCATAGCTAGCGACTCCACCCTTACTTCTCTAGTGTTGCACTGATACTGATACCAGTATTGGGCAGGGCCCCGATCCAGCACTAAAATGGTGGTATCCGTATCGGTGAGTACCAACAAATAGGGCACTGATACCATTTTGAGAGCCAAAACTTTATTCAGCTATTGTCACCCGTTCCAGGTAGGCAATAAAAAGTTCTACTGGATTCACTTTGTATTTGTATTTTTTGCTGCTTCACAAAGGTAGGCAGCTGCTTGACAAAGCCATGATGGCACTTATTGTACATCCAAGTAGTATGCAGTTCTTCATATATACACACATCAATTTCAAACAGATGGTATCTGTATGGTATCGGCCAATACTGCACAGCCAGGTATTGGGTATCGGATAACGGGGCCAAAAAAATGGCATCAGCGCAACACTAGTTCTTACAACTGCCAGCCAAAAAACAATATGAAACCACAAACCTATAAAAGACCTAATAAAGAGTGCAGAACCATCTAGGCTCTGATTCGGTATTACAGAAGCTAATAATTAGTCTTAGATGATCATCTGGAACAGCAGCAATCTATTATTTAAGCTCCACATCAGCCTCCAATTCTTTTCTGAATATTTTAAAAATTTCTCTTAATTCAACAACATCTCAGGTCGGAGGTGAAGTTGGAAGAGAAGCGCTGGGAGTGACATTAGCAGGTTCTTAATCATAATCCACCCGTCTCTGGCTCAAACATCGGCTAATGTTATCGCTCTCCCCCGGATAGACCCACTCTTTGCGCTTCTGTTTTACAGAAAAAAAGTATATCTTAAAATGGTCAGAGCACAGAAGGAAGGTCTCGTTTCATTTCTGCTGTCAATTAGAACCGTGAAAACAAACCATGTTGCTTTCTGACAGCTGTTAGACAGTCTTTATAACTATTGCCTTAAAGTACATATATATTTTCTCACCAGCGCTCTAGAAGCATTTCTCTTCAGGGCCTGCTAGTAGAAATCTCTCTCTTCTTCCTATAAAAAGCATCTACTACCCAGCTGGTTTTTGCCGTCTCCACCCACTGCCTTTGCCACAACACAGAACAGATGAGCCTTTTTATTAAGAGTCCAACCTTACACAGCTCAAATGAAGCTTTTCAAATTGGGGCAATAAACGTTGCATTATTACATTATGAGGGGAAAAATATGCCCTGAACAATGAAGCGTAAGAAAATCTATTCCAGTAGAAATGTGCATAAGATGATCTCTTTAAATGCAGTTAGTAGCAGGTTCGACTGCATTTCTGCTTTGAAACTTAATAATGGGCCGTCAGCTTTATAATTGTCCACTTATGTAAAAGCAGCTGAGTGAAGCTAATAGAAATATAACATTACCATTACTTTTCCTGGATCGTTTTGCTCCAGAACCCCAGACTCTTGTTATAGCTTTTAAGTAAATGTGCTGAATTTCAGTGATAATCAGTAAGTTCATGGATTTAGACAAACATCATACTGTCTGTGCAGCTTTATTAAACAGTTTGGGTATCATGAAGAAGGATCCTGTGGAGATATGCTTTGTAAATGAGTTCGACTTCAGGCAATACAACATAACTTAGGAATGCAACTAAAGAGTAATATGATTTTCTTTTTCCGAGATGAGTTGACCAATATTTTAAGTCATCAACAGTATGTTATAAAGTTTCATTTCAATTTAAAATATAAATTGAAAACTGTATTTTAAAAGCCAAACTACCTAAGAGTAGCATTATTTATTGCTCATCAAAAAAAAAAAAAGATAAAAAGTCATTTTTATTTAATCTAGACCAGGGGTCGGCAACCCAAACTGCTCAAAGAGCCATATTAGATTTTCTTTAAGTAGTTTTTTTTTTTTCTTGGATCACTTATCAAACGAAACATTAGAGACTAAAATACTGGCTCTAACAAGCTGTTGCTTGCTTGCTGCATGTGCATGCTGGCTGATAATGAGACAAGTGAAAGCAGGAGTGCTTTTTTTCTACTGCTTTAAAAACATAAAACTCAGGATAACAAGCGCACGTTTTAATATGTGGACTTCAACCATATGATCGTGTCACTAAAGTTTAACGAGAACAGGCATCAGTGAAGTGGGGAATGTCGCTAAGACTCTTGAAGCATTTGGTCTCATGTTACTTTGTTTTGCTTATGCTTTCAATATCTACAGACAAAATAAAACTCATCCTCCATTTAGCTTTGTGTAGTTTAGAGTCCTCTTGATTCCTGTGCATTGCAATATATCAAAACTTAACTAAACAAACAATGCCAGTAATCAGCTTATAGACTAATTATGCATGGGGATATATTTTCAAGAATTTTATGTTCTTGCTTTAAATAATTTGGCTTAGGGTTAATTATAAACCTGATACTAATGTTCTTAAAAATGACTTGCATGTAAGACCAATTTATAAATAACAAATCTGATGCGTGGATATTCTTTTACACTGGACACATTCATGTAAAGGCTGCTGACTTCACTGCTGCCCAGAAAAAAAAAAACGAACATTAATTTCAAAAGGAGTTGAGTGTTTTATTGTTTGTATCCAAACATCTAAATGGAAAGTGTAGTGGAAGGAAAAAGTGGGAGAGCAACAGGATTAGGCAGCAAAATCAAGTCAAGAACTTTGAAGTTGTTGACAGGATCACATCACAAACATGATGTGAGCTGAAACTGTCACTGTGTTGAAGCTAAAGTAAAAGGAAAAATCTCACCTGGGCTAAAAAAATAAAGGACTGTGTTTAAGGCTGCAAGTAACGATTATTTAGCAAATTGATTAATCTGTTGTCAATTTTTTGATTAATCAACAAATAAACTGATAGCCAAAGGTTCCTTAAAGAAGTTTTTTACGAAATTAAACCAGGTGAAACTAAATCTTCTCCACATAAGGGGTTCTGGATAGAGCATATTAACTGACAAAAACATCTTTAGCTTAAATGCAAATGTTTATTTTTTTTTTTTTTACAATTTTGATATAATTACTGCTCTAAATGGGTCGCTCTGTCAGCTAAAGGCATATTTTACAGTCTCTAAACTCCAGTTAACGATTAATCAATTACTAAATTAATTAATCACAATTAATCTGATTAATTGTTTCAGCCCTAACTGTATTAGTGTTCAGTCAAACAAATCAAAGAATACTTCATATTTTGGTTGGAAATCAAGGTCACAGGTTCAGGATGAAGCACGGATTCCATGAGATCCAGTTGAAGTTTCCAGTCATGTATTCTGCTGCTCTTGGTCCACTGTGTTTCCGTTTACCAAGAACATTTCAGAGCAGTTTATTTCCCTCTATTGTTGAGTCGCATAACGACTCCCTAGTTTAACGAGGATAGCAACAATTAGTCCTGGGCCATAAAACAGCAACAATATACATCACACTAGACGTATCATTGATGTTAATAGAAAATGTCCTTATCCCCTGATATAAAAGGCAGTTTTTCAGACACATCGCACAGCCCTAGTAACGATGTGTTGGAGCAGCCATTCAGCTCTCCTGACCTGAAACTCAGAGAATCTAGAGAGCAATGTCAGGAGGGAAACAAGACATTCAAGACCCAACAGCACAGTGAAGCTGAAGGCTGATATTAATGCAACCTGGGATTCTTTAACACCTAACTGAAGCCACAGGTCCATCTGCCCGTCCCTCTCTCCTGTGTTTTATTAGTTTAATGTATTATTCTGCCTTTCTGTAAAAAAAATACATTACAGAGCTTCTTTAGCTGTTAGCTATAATCATTAAAAATAACCGATATAAACCTTTAACTTTATTCTTTGTGGATGAAATGTTTCTAATGACTTTTGGTCTTCGAAATGAATTACTAAAAGAAATGAACTTGTTGGTTCTACTGGAATAACTATTAAAACAATAAAGAAAGAGAGAACTAAGTGAAGTAGATGTTCAATTTTGGGTGTGTTCTGTAGATGCTGAGATCTGTATGTGCAAAAAAAATAGTTTTTCATCCAACCTCTGTTTCTTTTCCCCAGGCTCTTTGGAAAAAGATGTGATGACTCACGCAAGGCAGTCAGCTTCCCTCAGGCAGAACCAGACCAGTTCTGACTGGTGGGATACCAGCCATACCTGGCCTCATGGTGGCACCACGGGCACCGACAGCCCTGAGCGTACATTACGTTTCGGCAGGACAAAGAAGATAAGTGGGATCATAAGAAAAAAGGAAGGCAAAGAGCCCAACACAATGAAGGAGAAAAAAGAACGAAGAAGGTCAGACGAGAGCCGGAAGCTTGACCAAAGACGAGAGAAGAAACGGGTCAGAAAGTTGTACCCTCTGCGAGGTCGAGCTGGGAATTCTGAGGAGGAACGTAAGTGCCATGTTCTCCTTACTCGCCTAGAAGAAGGCTCACGTGAAAAGGTTCGGGCTAAAGGTAAAGAAAGAAGAGACAGGCCCAAAACTAAATCCAAAATGGGTAAAACCAGAGATGGATTAAAAACGAAGTCCTTACCAAAAAACAAACTGAAATCAAAACATCTTGCTGATCATTCAGAACTGACAGACTTACAACCACGCAAACGTAGACTGGCGTCTCTCAACGCTGAGGCAGTGAACAGTTTACTACTTGAAAGAGCCACTGATGCTCAACCAGCTGCCAAACTGGCCAGGAGGCAGGAGGAAACTCTGGATGGAGCAGTTCCTTTGGATCCAACCAGAAGTCTCCCTGGAAGTCTTAAAGTATCAAGAGGGAACATTAATAAAGTCTCTACACCCAACAAGGTTGAGCTTTGTCAAAGTGCTAAGCTGAGCAAGAAGGCTAAAGCCAGTCGGGGTGATGAAGCTGTTTGGATGAGCCAGGAGTGTTTAGATTCACCTGCACCAAGACGGCTAGCTGGACTCAATGCTGCAGCCCTGCTGAAGCTAACAAGCTCGTCTGCTACCAGTAAACAGAGAGTAAAGGCCACTCCCACTGCAACGGTCACATCTGACTCTATGGCTCCTGCTGCGGACTCGACACCAAAGCAGAACCATAGAGATAAACTCCAAAACAAGCGCCAGTTGCAAAAGCAGAAAGGTAAAAAGCGCTCTCCCCTGCACGGCGCCTGCACAGCCTGCAAGAAGAAAGCGGACTTTGAGCCCAAGGTGGAGTGGGAGACGGGCAGCTGCACCCACCGCCTGACCAAACCAGGTTATCAGTCTCGTAGCATGCTTGGATACTCTCTAAAGCAGGTGAAGGAAGAACAGCTGGAGACAGAACTGAGCCCATACTACTGCTGTCCCCCAGAGGGGTCTGTGGAGTACTGCCACCGTCTGGCCTGCTTCCTTGGCCAGCAACCCTACGCAGACTCAGATGACCAGTCTATAAAGTCAGCCATGACCCCCGTGAAGCCAGAGTGCCTAGTAACCTCCCAATCTCTCACACATTCCCACCCCCACAGAGCACTCGCCCTCACCCCCCACCCATGCCTCTGCACTGCTGACCACTGCTTCCCTGGCTACTACGTCCACATCACCCACCCAACGCACACTGGCCAGACTTCAGCTGCCCTGGCCACACGGCCCCTCAACTTCAGCTCCACCAGTTTGTGCCCCAGCCATATTACTGGATCCAAGCTCCTGGGAGGTCAGGTGTCGCACCCATCGGGCTTAGGCCACCCTGCCTACTGCAACTCTGTGGCTTCCCCCTGTTATGGCGATGCCTGCGGGATCAGCGGCTACAGCTACAGATCACTGCCTCCGGTGACGGGTAGAAGTTGTTCTTTCAGTGCTGGCTGTACTGGATGCACACACAGCATTAAAACAGGTGAGTGAACATAAATCTACAGATGAAGCCTCGGTGTAAATTAACTACTACTATTTAAAGCATGTTTAAATACAGTAGAAAATGGATATTTATATCCATTATTTTTAGCTCTGCCCTCAGTATTTGTCTGACTTATAGCTATTTTCTGAGGTATGTTTACGGTCATTTAGTATTTGAAAGCTCAAGTTGTTTCCAAGCTCTAGCTTCCTAAAGACGTTTCAATATTTGCTAATGTCCTTTCTGTTATGATTCAAGTATTTTTGTAAAGGGCACTAAAAATTTGCCACAATTCTTTACAGCTATGATGAATATCAGGCATTAAGCCTCCCTCCCATCTCTGCCTTTGTGGCTAAACCCTGCAATATCTATTTAATTAGGTAAGAGTTGGTCACGTAACTCCGCCTCCACTGCATGGTGCCTGTACCATCTTTGTTATTAGTCGCCACTGTCAGGTAGCAACTTCCTATGGCAGTAAATACTTTTTCTCTTACCACCCTCACCAATTTTCAAAGAACCGAGGCCAGAAAAGTGAGCTTCGATGACTGTCTGAAGCTCAACACAGATATACCCCTAAAAGTGTGCGTCTGCAGAAATAGATAACAGGACGAGCATGTAGGACGGACCACTTATTTAGATGATCCACCCGGAAATAAAAGATCGTCCTCTAAACCTTTAAAGTCTGGAGATGAATCGGATTCTTACAAATGTTTACTTCTTTAAAAACTCTGACTGTAACTCTAAAACAGATAAATTAAAATCTGTCATGTCTGATTTTTTAAGTAAATCAAGATGTGATTGTAACCCACATCAAAGAAAACATAAGTAGCTATTTTCTTTAGGCAAATAGCGTGTCAGTGTTGAACAAATTTATGGCTGTGTTCTTTTTTAGACAGCAGGTTTTCTTTATTGGGGTCTTTATTTTACTGCTGGGATTAACTCAGTGGGACAGGGAGGAAAAAGCTGGGGATGTTTGCACTGAGGCAGCTTTAGTTTTCATAAAATACAGGACAGCGCCTTCGTTTGAGATGTGCCTCTACCAGCTGTGCAGATCATGACACTCTAACAGGTTTTCCTCTAACTGACTGTGTGTAGAATGATGGGAGGAGAAACCTGCTTCTGTGCCTGCAGGCTTTGCATGTTTACACATAAACAGAAGTCAAAAATGTAGCCTGAAAGATGCACCCAAGAACTCAGAAGTCTGTTCTCTGAATATAATTCACTCTGTCAACTTTGGGGTAGGTCTAAACCTTAGGAAATACATTGTTGGAAATTGGCGCTATATAAATAAACTAGATTTACTTGAATTTAAATCAGTTGGATTTGACCGTGTATTACAATGGGAAAGAGTATTTTCCCCCTCACAGATTTCTGCTGTTTTTGTGATATTTAAATTCTTAAGTTAAGATAATTATTTACATCCCACATTAGACACAAGACACAGAGAAAAGCAAGACCCCAAAAGATTATTTTATTAGGAAAAATGTTCTTAGGAAGTGAGTGTTTAATGTTTCAGAAATGTATGCAGAGATTTTATAAATTAACCAAACTGATTGGGTTTCTGGAGCTGTCTGTTTAAGGTCATTGCGGTGACGAGTCAGTGGGATTTAGGTCCAGGCTTTGACTAGGTCACTCCAACTCCTACCATTTTCTTTTAGGAGCCACCTGGATTTGAAGTTAGCTCTTCTCCCATTGCATAACGCAAAGTACTTGAGCTGGGTCATAAGTTAATTTTCAGACTTTATCATTTTCTGTTAGAGAGAAAAGTTAATGGTTCTGAAATTTCCAGCATGCTGTCCAAACCTGAATTATTTAAGTCTAACAACTAAGCAAAAATTAGGAGAGATCTGTAGAGGGTTTTATGGTGTACTAAGCAGTTTAATTTAAGATAGTTAAGGTCCTACGTTTAATGATCTCTAGGTTCTGATGGGTTCTTTGTTAGTTATTCTTGTAGTTGTCAGAGTTAGATTCAGGTAAGACCAGACCAATTTACTCTGTACTATTAAATAAAATTACCTTGGGTGATATATTTGTATATATGTTTTTAAAATATATTAAACTTCCATTCTTTTTTCAGAGGCTTACACGACCCTACAGGGTGACCACAGCCCCTCATTACTGGTTCCCCCTACTCTACCGATCTCCAAATGTCCACTATCCAGTGTGCCCAGTTCAACACAGAATAAAGCCCACCTGTTGACCCCCCTGTCTGGCCGAGATCAGCCCCAGGCCAGGATAATGCTAGCTAAGGAATGCCCTCAGAGCACAAAGGCCTCCAATGGCTCCTCCGTGGGCCACACCCACCTCCTTACGAAACAGGCCACCCCAGTGCCGAGCCTTGGCAGCAGTAAACAGAAGAAGATCAGCCGTAGACGTGCCACAAATGGCTGGCGGCCCGTTGGCATCCCCACTGAGAGGGAGGTCTTTATTGCGGTAGGTTGCTCCCCTTTTTAGGAAAACATTGGTGATTTTTTTTTCCTTCATTTTTTTTTTTTTTTTATGAAGAGAATCTTCTGTTTGTAATATCAGGGGGAAGATGAGGCTGCAATGAGGATGTGTTATGAAGGAGTGGAAAGGGACGGTGAAGTGATTCGTGTCAGAGACACTGTCCTACTACGATCTGGTCCCAGGAAAAAGTCCCTCCCATATGTTGCTAAGATATCTGCATTGTGGGAAGACCCTAAAACAGGTGAGAAGAAAAAACAAGAAGGGGGGGGTTGAAGTCAAGCTGCAAATGATCCATCAGCTACACAAAGACAAAGTAGGATTTTTTTTTTCCTGAGTAACAACTTCACATAAATAAAGGGTGCATTTAAAAGGTCTAGAAAGCTTGGTTGCCTTAAATTCTCCTTCATTCTGTTTCTGCAGATTTAAAAGTAGAACATAAATTATACCAGGTTATTTAGACTGCAACAGAATTATTTTCCTGCAGGATGAGCAGAAATAGTCTAATTCTCTTAGGAGTTTTGCTCTTTAAAGAGCATCTTTATCATGTGTGAACAACTGCTACAACATTAAAGAGACATTATTTAGGTTTTTACTTACGTAAACATATCTTTAAAATGGCCTTTTTATTTGACCCTTTATGATGAAAACATTGTTTAATGAGCAAACTGACACCCCAGTAGTTCAGCACCTGTGCATCTATAAGCCTGTAGGCTATTTTCCGGATTTTACTTTGGTTCGGAAGTTCCTACATTGTTTGACGCCAAGCGTGTCCATGTTTAAAACTTCCAACCTAGCAAACAATCAAAGCAAAATAAGATGGTTTTTGTGGATACTCAACCGGCATCCAGCTCATCTCAGACACCAATGGCTACTTCACTTAAAGTGAAGAAAGTAAAAAAAAAAAAAACGTATTATATACAAGCTACGATAATGAGGAGAAGAATGCTGCAGTTCTGTGTTTTGGCCATAGGTGGCAGTATCATTAGAAAACTCCGTAATGCCTCTTTAGTTATCATCTAACAATAAAATTACTTAAAGTGATGCTCAATTTGCCTACTTCCCCAATATGCACTTGGGAATAGCTACTCGCCTCTGGATGCTGGATGCATGAAACTGACTGCATGGTCTGTTTATGATGAAGAATTTCAGGTGCAGCGAAAAAAGATTTAAGATATTAAGAAGCTGAATATAGAAAATTAATGGTGTAGAATCTAATTAGCCTCTTAAAACACCTCCCAAGGTCTCCCGAGCCTCTAAGTTGTCTCAGTCTGGTTCATTAATCAATCCTGCTTGGTTATTCAAAGTCCTGTTTTCAGGTCAAACTTATGTTTCCATTTTAATTTGAAATCAAGTTCTGTAATATTATAATAATTAAACGTTTAAATTGGAGTTTTATTATCCTTGAAATCTCATGATGAAAACTACTATTTCCCTTATGTGTAAATCAAGCTATGGGAAATTAGTTTTTAGGACTGACAAACATTAACTTTTTTATACATTATCATATTCTTTTTAATTCTTTAAAATTTTTGCTTTAATTAAAAAACAAAACAACCAGTAACGTACCCTATCCTGACGTTGTTGGATACTGTAAATTCCACTTTCTTTATCTCAGGTATCAAGCACTATTTATAAAGATGGCCCATCAAAAGCGACCATCGTTCTTCTAAGACTTGACTTAAAGTTTCAAAGGTTCCTTCTTTAAGTGATTAAGTAATGAATTTAAAAAAAAAATAAATACATTTGTAAACTCGCCTGGTGGTGGAATGTGGGTCAATGCCCCGTGTCTTTAACAAATCCCAGTGAAAGTTTAAATATCTGCCTCTGATCGGCACTGAAGCCCCAGGAAAGGGAAATTAACGGGATAAATTTATATTTAAACGCATCTTTAGCTTTCCATGTGGAACGGAAATGTGTTGGTCTTGCTGCTGCTTTATGGCCAATTACCCGCTAAGGTAATGAAAGATATGCTTAAGTTGGATTTAATTTGAAATGGTAACTCAGACATATAAAATATGTATTTTTAAGAAAAATGAAATGTTTAAAACTAAATCAATGGACCTGGCTGTAAATCTCTTTGGTTACTTTGGTTGGTGTATAAATTGCTTAATAAACAAAACCCACATTTGATAAATCTGTTAGAAATGTAATTTTAAAGTAAAATTAGCAAAGCAAATTACAGAAAATCCATAAAGATTATTTATTCTATCCAGCTTTTCATTCATAATCTGTGGGTTCCAGTTTAACCAGGTGGTCTAACGCCCCTTTACTGTTTTTCCTAGTGGTGCAGTTCACAGACTGATGTTTAAGTGCAAGAATGCATGGCAGAAAATGTTCAGCTGATATTTGTGTTGATCTTCCTCAGGAGAGCTGATGATGAGCCTTTTTTGGTACTACAGGCCTGAGCACACCCAGGGAGGCCGGGATCCCAGAGCACACTGTGAGGTGAGGCGGCGGCAGGCTGCAGCCAGGAGATAATTTCTCCCAGTGGGAAGAGGACAGTTGTGCAACCTGTTTTTTGTGCCATAAAAGCATTTGTTGTTTAGAGATGAGCCTATTGCAGTGCATATTTTAACAAGTAGCATCAATATGAAGGCTGCTTTGGTGTATAGTAGTGTGGACAGCGACTCTTGCTGGAGACATCATTATTTCTTCCTCAGCAGCTCTGAGTTTGTTGATATCGGGTTGGTTTTCCAACCTAACTGCAGTGGCAAAATCAAAAAAAATATAAATCATGCTATCTGTTTGACCTCTGAACAAGGAGAGGAGCAGTTTCTAGTGAAAGTCTGCAGCTGTCTCTTGCTCAGCAGAGGAGGGTTTGCTTTGCATCTGGCCTCGCCACATAAAGAAACCCCACCATTTCCTAGTTTGCTCTGAGCTGACTGCTGCAAAGTGTTGCTGTTGTTTCTTCAGCCCCTCTTTTGGCACAGCATGCTAAAGTGTGGTGATGTGACGCTTTACGCCCACTGTTTCTTTCAGAATGAGATTTTCGCCTCTCGGCATCAAGATGAAAATAGTGTGGCCTGCATAGAAGACAGATGCTATGTTCTCCCTCTGGCCCAGTACTGTCGGTGAGTAAAAAAACCCAGATCTTCTCAGCGTCGCTTTCCTGGGATTAAATGCTCTCTTACCTTTCTAACTTTTTCTTAGATTTTGTGCCTTGGTGAAGCGGCGTGCTGAAGGTGCCCCACCTGGCAGGGCCAGCATGGTGCCCTTCCGCCCTGACTTCGCCCCTCCCTCCCACCGCTGCGTGCCCACAGACGTCGACCCCGAGCTGGTGTACCTCTGCCGGCACGTCTACGACTTCAGATACGGACGCATCTTAAAGAACCTGCAGTAGAGCACCTTGGAATCAGTCGTCCCAATTCTGCGCCTCCTGCACAGAGGGAGGCAGCTGAAGGACTTTGCAATCAATGGGAAAGGGTGGGTGGGTGGGGGGGGTTTGCATGTACGCATTATGAAGCACAGATCCCTTTAGTTAAATACCAAGAAGTTAGAATGTTGTAGGGAATCTCAGCCGGTAAATCCATCCGACTCCATTTTTCTTAGCTTATTGGTTTCCATAGAAGCGTAACCCCCCACCTCCTCAACCCCACCATGCCTTTTCTGCCAGAGACGTCGAGTGGGGTGGGGGGGGCTCCAGTCAGAACATGCAACAATCATGTTTGTTCCATTTGAGAGCCGCCGGCAGAGCCACGGTCCGGCGCGGCGCTCAGGTGCTTCCAGGGAAACAACCTAACCCTGTCAGCTGTGTGTTAACGCCGCTCGACAAGCATGGCTGAGGGAGCAGCTAATGGAGAGTGTCATCCTTTTCCCTTCATTTGACTCTGCACATTGGGTGTGTGCGTCCGTGTGTGTATGTGTGTGTTTAGGGGATAAATATGGTGATATTTAGTTAATCAAACCAAGCAAGCAGCTTTAGATGAAGTGGAGCTTTCTGTGAAAATAATTCACTAGTTTCAAGGTAAGCTGAGGATGAAAATGACCATATATTACTTATAAAATAGGTTCTACAGCAGATCTCCTTACATCTGCTGTAAAGCAAGGATATCTGCCGTCCCAAAATAAGTCGGACTTCGCTTTTTTTTTTTTTTTTTTTTATGACTGAGGAACTTAATTGAGGTAAATGGGGAGCTATGCTATGCTACGCTGCTTTTGGCTGCACATGTCTAGAGTTTACATGATGGTTCAGAACATAAAAGCAAAAGTATTCACCCCTCCTGTAGCTGTTTAGTTTGGTATTGTTAAAACATCTCTCTGCCACTGAGCCCATTCAGTCCATTCGGCTTTTCAATGTTTTTTTTTTTTTCTTTTCTCACAACCCAGCGGACACCAAACAAAGGATGAGGCACTAGTTTTAACTTCCCCATCTCCCCCCCTCTTGCTTCTTCTTCTCCAGCACTTGTCTCCCCCTATTTTGTTGCACTAAAGCGCTCCTTCACAATAAAACACGATCGCCTCTTTATTTTACATTGCTGATGCTAAAGAATTGGCAGGATGTAAATGGCAGAGCTGCTTTTTTTTTTCCTTTTTAGAAGGAGACATTAGGGATGTAATCGCTGTGAGTACGTTAGTACAAAGTCTCAGTTTTAGATCAGTATAGATCAAGAGTCATTCCTTTTTTTTTATGCTCTCATAAATAAATACCTGCTATATATATATAAATATATATATTTATGTTTGTATTCACACTGTTAATGTGACTAGATGTGCAGAAGGCTTCAGGATGCAGTCCTGAGTCGCCGTGCAGGCAAACGTAGCACTGTGATAGATGTGTGTTTGGATTTAAAGGGTACGGTTGGTGGATATTATTGGGGGGGGGGTGGGGTCTGTACTTTATGATGAACTTTTTTCTGGTCACGAACCATGTGCTCTTCCATTGCCTTCAACCTGCAGCTGTTTTCCGGTCGGTGTGCGTTCCAGTACTCTACAGCTGTAAATCCCCACCCCCCAATCTAGAGCCATCTATAATTCCCCTTTCTATTTGAATTACTCAAGTTATACTTTCCAACTTTAAAATTCCTCTTCCTTAAGAATATTTTATTAAGGCGATTTACTAAGACGGCACATGCAATATATTTTTAGAGTTACTATTTTTGAAGAATGAGCTCAACAAATCTTGAAAAAAAAATATGCATTACTTCTTCTTTCTGTTTAGTTGATATCAGGTTGTTTCTCAGTCCATGTTTGACAAAACAAAGAGAGGCGGGGGCCGTCTCAGGAGCTAGCAAGGAGCTCCCCTGCAGGAGCCCATAGATGTCTAAACCCCAGGAATCACCAGGCATGCTCTCTCGCCCTTTTTTTCTAAACAAGCAGGCGGCCAATGCACAGTGTTGTATTTTTTGTTTTCTTGCAAGATCTGTAGCGGTTATATTTAAAGTAAGAAAAGAATATTTAAATAGAGAAATCAATTGAATATATTAAGATGTCAGTTTAAGTTATTTGGGACTAATTATGTATATCCTAGCCCTGTATTTGTGCTTCAAGACAGAAATAGTTTATTTGTAACCTTAGAAACTGAGTGAGTCTGATAGCAGAAGTGTAAGTATAGTTTAGCTTTGGTGAGACCAGAGCAGCTTGGCCTAAAGCACCTTTGCTGTAAAGGAGGTCTGGTTTGGTCCAATAACAGCCTGAGCGATGCAACAGAAGGATGGACTTTAAAGGGATGGTTCCGTGTTCTGTTAAAACAATATAAGCAGTCATATCATCCCTAAAGCTAATTTAATTGGTCAAAGGGGCTGAACTTAAGTGCTAGTTGCAGAGAGGGATCAAGTCCAAACAGCAAAGCTTTTTTAGCTTTTTTTTTTCTTCTAAACTTTATAGTCATGAGATGAATATTTAACTCTGCTGGATATGATAAGGTGTGTTACACTGTATCTTCCCCGTGAAACGCATGTTTAAGTGACATGTTTCTTTCCATAAATTCATTCTCGGGGCCACAAATTGCCTCCAAGCTACTGAAACGCTACTTACGTTTACGTTTGGACAAAAAAAAAAAAAAAAAAAAATATTTGAAGACCAGGATGATAGAAAAAGATAAGCCCAAAATATCAGAAAATTTTTTTTTGTTTCTGAGTTTGTTTAATGCAAGTTTGCATTAATTTCAGATTGTAGATTTAAAGTTAATGAATTTATGTTTTTTTCAAATATCTATATATTTTTTAAAGTTTAGTCTCATTTGGTTTTGGTCTGCACCTTGCTGCCAGCTAATTTTTATAAATGTTTAAATGAAATGATGAGGCTGTCTACAGTTAAGATATTGACTGCTTGTAACTTTTAACAAAACCAAGCTACATGTTCATGAACTGCTCCTTTAGATTTTTTTCTATTGACCTATAACATCATCAAAAACGTCTGTTTCTGTTGTGCTCAGGTTAATTGGTGAAGCAGCTTTTCCCTCCTTATACATGAGAACGTACATTAATCCTTTAGCTCCTAGGAGGTCAGGCCATGCACGTATGTAGATGCTGCACAATGAACGTCTCTTATCTATTCAGCAGCATCTTCCCTTGCATCCCTATCTTCTCGCTGCTGTAATAGATGCAGGCACTTCCGAGCAAAGCTCAGTAAGTCATGTGTTGCCCTTCCCATGTGCTGGTCAGCCTTGCAATAACACATTGACTCAGATAGCCTGCTGTCATGTCCTAACTAAATTAACCACAGGCTTTCGAATGGAGACAGCTGTATCCTTATTTCCATGACAACAAGGCTGAGCAAGCACTCAGGAATACGAAGTTTTAGCGAAGTACGACGTGAAACACTGAGTAACCTTCGCTGATAGGTGTGTGTTTGCGTGTGTGTGTGTTCACTCCATTACACAAAAGCACCTGACCAACCTGTGAGATTCTGCTTTCTCTGTGGCCTGTATTGATGCTTATTGTTGGCATATATTTTGATATATTTGGCAAAAATGTGGGATTATACAGTTTTAGATATTTTTGGAGTAGAGAGAGTTATGTGTATCGGATTTCTGTCACTTAATCATGTTCTCTGAAGATCTCTTGGAATTTTTTTATTTTATTTGAAAGACTATATCATCCCAACTGATTTAATGTAATGTTGAGAGAATATTTATAAAATCTTAAGTCCTTTGTGAAAATGACTCTGGATGTTTTTATTTAATCATCACATATTGGTTGGTTTGCAGTTAGTTTAAGATCAATTTGATTAAAACTTTATTTACACCGAAGTATATCCCTTCTCCTAAGCAAATGTATCCAACTATTATTTTATTGAGCTCTTATTATAGAAACTGCATATTTGGCTGTAATACCGATCATGTCCACAGGAGGGCACCAATGAGAGACCTGCATCAGAGGGCTGTTTAATTCTCTTCCAAACTCCCGAGTTTATGGCTATAATTTGCACTCACTGACCATATTTTTCAGTGCATATGAACATGTTAGGAGGAAGGATTCAGCTCCCTCCTTTTAGTTTTGTTTTTGAAGTTCAGAGCCTTACAAACGTGCAGGAAGCTGAGCAGATAATTGTTTTTAATGACCTATGATGAAACACCCTGAAGGGATTTAAGCTAAAAGCACAACCAGTTTAGGATCAGCTGTTTAGGCTCTAATACAGCTGTTAGAGTGAGTTATGATTTCAAAGTGGAACGTAAAAGGATACAGGATTTTCTTAAAAATTTTGAATTTTTGTTGTCTTTCTTCGAATAGAATAGTGGTAAGGAGAAATGCACTTTTATTAAAGAAAGTCAAATGAAGCAAGATCTGTAGTTGATATGGGAACGCAAAGAAGATGGGCTCTGGTCACATCAATCTAAAATCCAAAGTTTTTGGGTTTGTGTGTTTGTGGGGGGAAACTCTTAGCAAAGCATGGTGGTGGTAACATCATGCTGTGGGGTTGCTTTACATACAACAAAGAAACTGATAGAGGCAAATCCAGGGCAGCCCTGAAAGAAAAAACTTGATACTACAGAACATTTCCTCTTACAAAGGGTTACATTTCCAACAGGATGATCTGAAACAAATCAAGAGCTACTTATTGTGAGTCCAGATGATTATGCTCTTATGCAAAGACCTGAAAATTTACTGTAGGTGTTTGCCAACCAATCTGACTGAACTTCAGCTGCTTTGCAAATAGGAAAGATTCAATAATTTTCCCTGTGTGTAAAAACATCCAATGGACAAAAAGGTGGCTTCACAGAGTATTATTTCAAAAATATTTCACCCAAATTTTAAGATTTATCTAATATCATTACATAAATTCCCATTTATTTTATTTTTTTTAGATAAGTTTAACACAAACCTATTAAATAATGTATAATAAAGCTTATTTATTTGAAGTATGTAATCATCAGGTTTATGCATTTTAGTTTATGAAGTACACTTACTTACTAACATTATTTAAAAAAAAAAATACATAATTTATTGTTTGATTTTGATAAAGGTACGCTGATATGTATGCAGTTTAAAGAATAAACTGTTTTTGAAACAAATACACTCAATACTATTATATTTAGTAAATATATTTCATTAATTATAAACAACCAAAGCTGACAACTGTGTAGTTTGAATAAATAAGCTATATTTAACTTATGAATATACATCATTTGATGTGTTTGCTTTAAAATTAAATAGAAATTTATGTAATAAATGAAAAAAAATCTTAAAATTTGGGTAAAATACTTTTGTGTGTGTTGACTTGGGTGCAAAGGACACCTCAATTATGCACCGTTTTAGATTAATCATCCACAGAAGATGTCAAAAAAAAATTATTAAAGTTAAATGTTTTAAACTAACTAAAAAACCCCACAGTCTTGGATTATGTTTGGGAGAAGAAAAAAAACCCTCCTCTCCCAGTGCGAAATGAGAACTGACTCGACAGGAAGTCTGACAGAAAAAGATGACTTAAGAAAAGGGACATTAATAATGGGGGAGAGAAAACGAGCATTTGAGGAACGTGAAACCTTAGAATTGTATCAACGCATACACAACGTATTTATCATGCTTTCATTCTCATGAATCGACAACTTCCTTTGCAAAGTCTTGATACGTCAGCAAACAGGTAAATCTGCTACAAGAAGAATCGATCCAGCAAAATGGAAAATAGACAAAAACAATGGAGGGGGGGCAAATGTAATCACCTAACTAGCTTTCATCTAGTGCTGTTTCTTTCCCCTGTTAGGCTAATTACCACATCCGGCTTATTGTCTTCCTGATGACTGCAATTAATCAAATTCTGCTCCCTAATCTGTGGATCTCATCATCCTTACAGTAGGCCCTGGCTGACCACACCGGATGGCAGCTTCACGTAAGCTTTTTGGGAGTTTAATTTAGTGCTTGTCTGTAAGTTTGCATGCAACAGCAGATTCTCCAGCCCCTCTCTGTCAGGAGTATGTTTTTCTTCAGGACAGAGGTCAGGAACTGTGTTGTCTCCTATGAAGCAGTAGCCAGGAATTTTAGCACCTTAAATGTGACACTTTGATCCTTATCGCTGTTTTTTATCGACCTAATGAAAAAAAAATAAAGACTCCTGCACACTCCTGTCCTCCCCTTGAGCTTCAGGTGGATTACCCGGTCTTTAATCTGTCCTTTGAGTGACATCACCCTGCTCACATAGGCCTTACAGGATATTAGGTGAGGGAGGGAAAGCAGCAGGTGGGGAGAGCTGGGTGACTGGGGACGGTGAATCAGCTCTGCAGGGAAGTTTAGACCAAAATACACCCACACCTTCAGCCTGGGCCATGCAAGGAGTCACAGCAGAAGGAGACGCACACATGGAGGAGATGGATAACCACAGCCTGCAGATGGAGGAGACGGCCCAAAGCCTGCTGAGAAGACCTTCTCTAAAGGAGAGCTATCACAGTGACACTGATTTCATGACAGGTAAAAATGTGTGAGTTTAAAGTAAAAGATGACTAAAAATGTACCAGTTCAGTTAAACTCAGGTGGTCCCTTTCTCTGCACCCATTGCTGGACAAAAGATCAGTCGATTTAATTTTGCTTTACAGATCTTCGGAGGTGTGCACGGAGATGTGGCTCAAAGCAATCTGTTGTCTTGTTTTTTTATTTTTTAAGTTTGGTTTATTAAATATCTGTTTCGTTCAAAGGAAAAGAACTAAAAAATAGAAAAAATACATGACTATGAAAGATTAAAAACAAATTTTATTTGCTGAAATTCAAATCCCTATAAGTAAATATCCTCTTTACACCAAACTTTAAAAATACTCTAAGTATTATGTTCCTTGCATAATGTAAGTCAGTAGGAATAATGGCACCCTTGAAATATTCCATAATCTTACATATTCCTGAAGCTTTGATATCACTTAAATGATGCTTAGTATTGGTTGCATGCCCCACACTCAATGAATGTAGATGTGACTCAGATGAACAGGCTTTGCAGTGTGTCATTTTCCTTGCAGGGATTCATTTCAGTGATAAATGAAGGATGATTGTGCACAACTAGCGTCAGTGTGTCTGTTTTTGCAGAGTATTTTAGCAGATGCTGTTCTATCATTTAAACAATACCATCTGCAGACAGAGATTAAAACAAGCCGTTATGTCTCTTTCTTAACATTTAACGTGTCAAAAACAGATGTATGAAACCTGAATGCACTTAATTTATGAGTCTACGATTACATTCGGAGGACATAAATCCAAGAGACCTGACTATGTATTATTTGCTGCTAAGTTAGTGCAGGGTTTGAGCTTGGGGTTTTGCTAATTCTCTTTTACAGCACCAGGATTATTGTGCTATTCTAATCCCAATCCCATATGGAGTGTATGGATGTGGCACGAGGATGAAGTCATGGCCAGGACAGGAGGAGACACAGGAGATCACGAGCTGACAGAGGATCACGGTCCTCAGTGAGAGGCAGATTACTGCTGGCTCAATGCTTTATGTCCTCACTAACAGCAGATTATGATTGTTAGGAGGAAAAACGTGTTATGTTTAAAAAGTAGCACCAAAAGATAGAAAAGAGTTCTAAAATGTAGGATGATGCAAATGTTTGAAGCTAGACAACTTCACAAACCAACAAGTTGGTTTTTAGATGACATTTTTAGCTAGTGCTTCTTGCAAAGCTGCATATGGGTTTTAAATTAAGCTTTAAAATATTTATTGCTTTATTATTTTTTCACCTTTATTATTCAGCCTTTCTTTAAAGAGCACAACTAAAACCAATTTAGCTAACAAGCTCCTGCACAGTAAGGTAACCAGATTTCTGAAATCAAATCTGGGGATATTTCCATCTTATAGAAAAAAAGAAATACTCATCAAGATGAAAGTAGGAAACAGAGACAGTAATTGTTTCATTTACTTTTACATATTTATTAATATTTTAGCGACAAAAAACAAGGAGTGCCTCTGGAGGAAAGGGGTAGGAGTGGAGTGGTCATGGGGGGTTACCAGGGCTTTCCAATTTTGTGAGGTCTAAGGAGCTCTAAAGAGAGAGTGACATGAGGAAAAGATAAACCAGAAATGCATATCCAAAGATTTCCCCAACACTTAGCCTTTCCCTTTGGCTGTCTATGGAGACATAGATCCTCCACCTCTTTAAATATATCAAACATTCCTTCTGTTCACATGTACATACCTATGAGAATGAGGTTTTTCTATGTTAACATGAATCAAAAACAAGTAGCGGCCAAGCCAGCAGGTAAAGGATGATATATTTATTACTGTACCAGAATTCATTACTATTATACTAATTATTACAATATATTTATTACTATCAACTGACGACTGACCACATCAGATGCATATGCATCTCAAAGAAGCAGGTTTATTGTTCTATGCACAGCTCCACTACTTCCTGAAATTCAGCAGCCTTTGTTTCCTGTCTTTCATTACTGGAAAAGCTGATTAATCCAGGTGTGTCTGGCTGGTTACTGAGATTATTTCTAGCCCTCTTCTGATTTTAGTCTGCCCTCTGCATTACACTTCTAAGTAGATTTCTCTGCCTTGTCCTCATCTGCTCTCTATCAGTCTTCCTCGCTCCTCTTCTCATGGGCGGTTCTACACAGGGGCCAACGGGGGCCAGTGCCCCTGTAGATCATGTCCTGGCCTCTGTTATGGCCCCCGTACTGAAGACCTAATACTCAAAGAAATTCTATTGATGATATGCAATGGAACAGACATGGTTACTGATTGGTCCTATGGATAATTTTTTTTTTTACAAGTTGATAGCTTCAGTGGTATTGAGATACGATCCCAGTTTTCATCTGCTAAATGTTTTTTGTTCCAACACCAATAAAATAAAAATACTCTAATTTTCACCGCTGAATTTTGATAGAAAACAGTTATTTTAACTCAATTTAAAGGAATAGTACACCCAAAACATGATCAGCCTTCATTTTCTACTCACCCCCATGCTGAACAACACTCTGGAGTACTTTTTTGATATCTCAAATGCATCTGGAGATCTGGGAGGCTTCTTGCTGTCTGCTGACATTCAAATAATGGAGGTCTATGGCGCCCGAGGCAGAAAGGTCCATAAAAGTCCACAAAAAACGTGTCAATATTCCTCCATACTGCTCGTCCAATGTATTCCAAGTGTCCTGAGTGGGTAGCGTCCAGAATTTACTCGAAACGAAGTCATTTAGAATGTTTTTAGAGCATAAACAGTAGTGTATAGGATTTCCTGAAAGCGCGCACATGCGCGTTCACGACGCTACGGAAGCCGGCAGACCAAACCAGCGCATTCAGCTCGGCAAAGAACTCATGCTCTTCCTCAACACTGAAGTCCTCAGACATTTTTCTTTCGTTGTTTCTTTCTTTGCACAGGTAAACAGCACATTTCTTCTTCTACGCTTGCATTATCGGCAGAGCAGACGCTGAATGCGCACTTTCATCTTTCATATTTTTTTTTTTTTCCCCCTCATATTTATGTTAACAAAAGACAGCTAGCTAACAGCTGTTTCTGCACACAACCTGCTCAGGTGCTCTTTCAACCGTACTAACGGTCTACATGCAACACTTTCCCTTTCAAAAAAACGGTCAAATCAGGGATCTTTGCAGGGACAGGTTTAGCTGTGAAAAGGTGGTCCAAATCTGGGACTGTTCCTGGGGACATCTGGTCACTGTACTTCACAATGTAACTTTCAGGACACTGATCCACATAGTTACGTAATTACGTTTTTAGAAAACCAAACTTTCTCTTTATTAAAGTGAAACTTTTTATAACAATACCACCATCACAAACAATGAATTCTTCCAGAACTGTAATCTGGGTTGGCATTTTCAAACAGTAGTTCAGCAGTACGTGAATTTGGACTTTTTCAGTCTGTTGTGTCAAACATAAAGAACGTAATGCAAAAGAAAATATTTTCTGCTATATGCAACTACCTATTTTTACTCAGATGTTTACATTTGGAAAATGGAAAATTAACAGAATCAACTGACTTTATATTGCAGTTAATAATGCAATACAGCAGATGATACTAAAATATCTGTAGGGTAACATTAACAGCAGACGTACCACCAGCAGCCCTCACTCCACAGTTTGAGAACCATGGTGACATAGAACCAGAGATTACCAACTTTTTCTTGATTTAGATCTTGCTGAAAGGAACAATACTTCCTATTTTGACACATTCTCCATTATAATTTCTAACCCTCATGATCTTTTCTGCAAAGTAAATGTAATGTAAACCTTTATGTTGTCTATAGCTTCAATATGCATTTTCAAATCCAGCCCTGAGGTTTCTACTTTGTTCCTCCCCTCATATATTGACATGGGATTATCTGTTTGGGCGGAGTCAAAGAGATTAACATTGGGATTGGGATTAACATTGTACTCTGCACTCCCATACACATCCACATGCAATCATGCTCATGCGAGTCCACATGCACATGGGCAGAGACAATTAAGGGCGAATTGGACGTTTTAAAGCATTACCAACCCCCACCTTTATAGGCACACATCCTGAGCTAGAGGCTTAGCCTCAATAAATCAACATAGTGTCCAAGAGGGAGCCAGGAACAGAAACTGTCGATTTGGATAATAGAAACTGAACACCTTGTAAGAAGCAATCTCTGGAAACGGTATGAATGGAGTGAAAGAACTGCGATCCTAGAAGAGCCTGGTAAATCAGATGGAGGCAGAGCGGGGATACCTGATAAGGGCCAGAGGAGCACAGATAACTGAAAGAGTTTGTACGCGAGAAGAGAAGAAGAGGAGGAGGACGTCTGGGCAGGTTGAAGACGGTGCCAGAGACCAGCAAAGATACCCTAGCTTGTCATCAGCATCCAGCAGCTGTTATGGTACCAAACTATGAACCATTGTTCCTTTGGTGATGCTGTTAGAAAAACAATTAAGAAGGATTTTATGACAGAAACACTGCAACAATTAATACCTTTTTTAGCTGGATATTGCTTTGATTTTATTGTTGTTTACACTGTGTTGCATGATGGCAATATGGATGATCCGGGTTGTCCAACAGTTTTGGGACATTATTGTGCAGACATCTGTTACATGGCCGTGAATTATAAATTTTATTAGTCTTTGTCCTTTTTCTACTGCTAAAATATTGAATTTTTTGTCATTTTACCCAGATTAATCTTTAATCAAAGCCTTTAGGATTATCTCTGCAGATTTGTACTTTATGAGGCAAAAACAGAGAGGTTTTAGATGTTCACACATGCTCTTTGTAGTGCAGTAGCCATCTTGTCTTACTTGTTATGTAATGTGATAGAAAATGATAGCAATAAATATTGCCATTGGTGTATTTGAAACTCTCAATTTGTAGGTTCAAAACCCAGAGATATCGAGAGAAAATCCATCATTCACATTCTGAATTCCCTCTGCGTCTTTCAGATGACCGCAGCTCTGCAGCCAGCGGCCTGGACGTGGCCGACCGGCTCACATACCTGGAGCAAAGGATGCAGATGCAGGAGGATGAGATCCAGCTGCTGAAGCTGGCGCTGGCTGATGTTCTCAAGAGGCTCAACATTTCTGAGGAGCACCAGGCGGCAGCTACCGCAGCTGGAGGAAGGAGAACACCAGGAGCAAAAGGTGAGCAGAGATCTGTGATTGGTCTTTAAACTGAAGAGTTTAAAGCTTATCAATAATAATGAACAAATGTTTCATTATTGATAAGCACTTGTGAACAGTTTTCAATATGATGTATGTGAGCTTTTTTATTTAGTTGACTTTCATTAAGAAAAGAGAGCTCCAGTTAAAACAAAAAACCTGGTTAGATTATAGACTTATGATAAAAAAAATTGTTGATTTTCTGTGTCCTTTATGAATGATGCATTTCAATCAAATTACTTTTCAGGTTCCCTTCTCCAGTATTTAGTAGTGACAATAATGGATATATCAGACTGTGACCTCGCTATATTTTAGACAAAAAAACAACTAAATAAAACAGTTGTACATTTTTGCAAAAGGACAGACTGGATAATTATATGTAAAAGAGACACAGGAGAAAAAGGATTAAAAGGAATAATTTTCTTCAATATTTCTGTTGATCTAGATGTAAGAAGTAATAACTTTAATGATCAATATAAAATTCATCTTTCACACTTTGATGACTCCTCACAACTTATCTGTAAAAAGATGCTATTTTGAGAAAATGACAATTTTATCTGTCCTTTTAATAGTAAATATGTTAAAAATCATATGCAGCAATTTAACTTTGTCGTTAGATTATATTACAGTAAGAAGCTTAAAGAATATGTTCAACTGTGACATAAAATTACTCAACAAGATGCCTGTGAAACATGTCAATTTAGGCAACAATCACAAAATAACCTCCTGGAGGGACTAAACAGTAGTAAATAAATTAGGAAGTCAAATAGTCGCTGAAACATGATGTCTTCTGTATGATGATATTTTTAAAAAAAGTATAATCAACTATTTGAAGCGGTGTAACTTTATTTTGAAATTTTAAAAGTTAGAACAATGTATTTCTCTCTACAACTTCAATTTGAAATGTGCAAATACTTATGATTACAAATGACTTTAATACTTCTGCTTTGGGAGTGACTCTGAAATATGCTTCAAGCTTCTCTTCTTTGTTTATGTTTCCACAGCCAGGCCTGTCTCCCTGGCTCTGCCCACCAGGACCCCCATGGTGTCATCCAGTGCTCCAACCCTCAAAAAGAGCTCAACAGTGCCCTCCAGTGCCACAGCCAGGAACTACAGCCCTACGCCACCTCTAGGGTAGCTGCTCATTTCCTTCCTTCTGAGCAGACAATGATGAACTCAATTAAACAAGAGAGGAAGCTGCTACAGACACCGTTGATGGGAAAGCACCCTAATCAGTGTGAAGCTTCGTGTTTCATTATAGAAGTTGCAATCAGCAGACACCCTTCATTATCTCAGAGACACACATGGATGCTCAATAATTAGCCCTGCACTGGCCTTTAAATCAAAGCAGCAACCAATTCCTCTCAATTACCTTTCAAATGATTCTGACATTAGATAGTGCAGTCAGAAAACCTGACGCTCTCTCTCCATGGCACCCTAATCCCTGTCTGTGGTGTTCTGGTATGATTACACATAGAGATGTAAATCAAAACTCAATTTAGGCTTTCAGTTTCTAATTACAATGATGCAAGATGAAAAAAGAATCCTTAATTGCAGCAAATTGATTCCGTAATGATCTTTTCTAAGGATTTCAATCAAATATCAAATATGTTTTTATTCTTTCTAGTGGTGTAAGGAGCCCACCAGGTAGTGTGAAGGACAGTCCATGCAAAACCACAAAAAAGGGGCCAACGGCTGCAGCCCCAGTCTGCAAGAAAGCTCCCGAAGGGTAAGACTGATCAGTCAGCAGTAGGGCAAAGATTTAATGTTACTTCAGTTATAGGGCTCCTGGAGCGTAATATGCATGCTCCTCCAACTTTCTGATGTTTTCTCATTTTACACCCACAGATAATGAGTGTTTTATCAGGATTTTAAGCAATGGATCAACACAAAGTAAAATGCATTTATGAAGTGTGAACAGAAAATACATGACATTTAGAAAACAGCATTTTGCACAAAGCCTGGGAAAGAGTGCATTTGTATTCAACTACATTTTATTTTAATACCTCTAAAGAAAAGCAAGCAGAACTGTGTTCTCCATTTCGCCCAAAGTGACTGGATATAGAGGGAGGGAGATTAATCAGAAAATCAGATGACTCTGGGGGATGCAGCAACGATCCACAGCTCATGTAGGAGAATCTGTCAACAGGAAAGCTATTATAACTCTGGCATAAAGAAAGAGTGGCTTGGAGAAAGCTGTAGGAGGCATCGCTTAAAGTTTGACACAAACCATGTAGGAGAGACGATGCTCAGATTAGACTAAAACGAAATGAAAAATTTTGTAAGAAGCACCTAAAGAAAAACTTTTAATGTGTTTTTACTTGTTTTATCTTGTGATGCTCATTTACCCATTTTTTTTTTTTTTACACATGACTACTGTATTGTTCCTCTTACTAATTGTAAATGTCAATATTCCAGGAGCAACAAGTCCAGCGAGCCCACTGTAAGCGTAGGTAAGGAAACGCTCATTGTGCCTCCAGATTTGTATTTTCTGAATGGAAAAATGCCAGGAAAGAGAGAGTGACTCTCCACAACCAGAGAAAGGATTTACTGATGCCACAGGGACGGCAGGCTAATTATTTTCCCTCCTGTTTTGTTGCAGGAACAAGGCGGGTGACTCACTGCAAAGGTAGGCTCTGTCTCTTAGAGCAATAACCGAACAGTGTAGTTGATAGAACTGTGTGTGAGCTCTTCTTTCTGGTTTTCATTTTTCACTTCATACCATAACTTGTGCATCCTCCCCCCCTTCACTTCCTTCCCCAATCATTTGCCTTTTCAATCCCTCCCCCTTTTATAATGTCCCTTCATATATATCCCTCTTCATTCTCCTGGCCTCCTCACCACATTTCACCACTTAACTTAGTGACTATGCAGATCTATCTGAGCCCCCTCGCAAGAAAGACTGGGTCTTCTGAGGAGGCCAAGTCAGTGTCTGCAATGCCTGCCCACAGTGGGCCGGGGACCGGCCCTGGGCCCCCTTCAACCAAGAGGAGCATCCAGCCTCAGATAAAGAAATCAACCCCGTCCTTCACCTTGAACCTGCAGAAAACCGTAACCAGCCAGAGCTCAGAGCAGGAGACATCCAGCTACATCAGCCCAGTCAAGTCACCCAGCCAGTATTTTCAGATATGTTACTGACCCAAGCTGACATTCCGAACTGATATTGAAAGGTTTTTATTAACCTTAAAAAATATCCAGTTTTCCTGAAATGTAAGCATTTTTATGGATATTTGCCTGTTACTGAGATAAAAAAAAAACACCAAATAACTTAAAATTGCATATCTGTGGTTAATTCGTCTGACTACATCAAATGTTGTGCTTTAGGTTCATTCATTTTGAGAATAGCAAAGGTTTTTTTTTATTGCATTTTTATTTTTATTGCAGGCTAGTTTTATTGGTCAGGTGGTCAAACCTGTTCATTGTTTTCCTGGACTCCCGCCTTCTCCTTTATAGCTCTGAAAACAATAATTTGTTCAGACAGTGTAATGTCAGGGAGACTGACTCATCTGTGTGCTCTGATGTCTTTTGTGTATTTGATGTTTGATGATAGTTTCCACCCCACCTCCGTATGTCTGTTCTCATACAGGAGAGACAATAAAAAGCTATGATCTCTAAATAAAGCGTCTTGCAGAGAGCTTGATGAACTCCGGGCTTCGTTCCCCTTCAAGTGATGCAACATTTTCAACAAGCCAAGGAAGAAAACATGAGCTTATGTAACACTGCTCCAATGACTTTAAATAATGAGAACAAAAGCCTGCTTTGCATGATGATTAGGAGGAAGCTACAGGTGCTGGTCATAAAATTAGAATATCATGAAAAAGTAGATTGATTTCAGTAATTCCATTTAAAAAGTGAAACTTGTATATTATATTCATACATTACATACAAACTCATATATTTCAGATGTTTATTTTGTTTAATTTTGATGATTACAAATGACAACAAATGAAAATCTCAAATTCATCATATCAGAAAATTAGAATATTGTGAAAAGGTTCAAAATTGATGGCCCCTGGTGCCACACTCTAATCAGCTAATTAACTCAAACCACCTGCAAAAGCCTTTAAATGGTCTTTCAGTCTAGTTCTATAGGCTACACAATCATGGGGAAGACTGCTGACTTGACAGTTGTCCAAAAGACGACCATCGACACCTTGCACAAGGAGGGCAAGACACAAAAGGTCATCGCTAAAGAGGCTGGCTGTTCACAGAGCTCAGTGTCCAAGCACATTAATAGAGAGGCGAAGGGAAGGAAAAGATGTGGTCGAAAAAAGTGTACAAGCAAGAGAGATAACCGCACCCTGGAGAGGATTGTGAAACAAAACCCATTCAAAAATGTGGGGGAGATTCACAAAGAGTGGACTGCAGCTGGAGTGAGTGCTTCAAGAACCACCACACACAGACGTATGAAAGACATGGGTTTCTGCTGTCGCATTCCTTGTGTCAAGCCACTCTTGAACCACAGACAGCGTCAGAAGCGTCTTGCCTGGGCTAAAGAGAAACAGGACTGGACTGCTGGTGAGTGGTCCAAAGTCATGTTCTCTGATGAAAGTAAATTTTGCATTTCCTTTGGAAATCAAGGTCCCAGAGTCTGGAGGAAAAGAAGAGAGGCACTTCATCCACGTTGCTTGAAGTCCAGTGTAAAGTTTCCACAGTCAGTGATGGTTTGGGGTGCCATGTCATCTGCTGGTGTTGGTCCATTGTGTTTTCTGAGGTCCAGGGTCAACGCAGCCACATACCAGGAAGTTTTAGAGCACTTCATGCTTCCTGCAGCTGACCAACTTTTTGGAGATGCAGATTTCATTTTCCAACAGGACTTGGCACCTGCACACAGTGCCAAAGCTACCAGTACCTGGTTGAAGGCACCATGGTATCCCTGTTCTTAATTGGCCAGCAAACTCTCCTGACCTTAACCCCATAGAAAATCTATGGGGTATTGTGAAGAAGAAGATGCAATACACCAGACCCAACAATTCAGAAGAGCTAAAAGCCACTATTACAGGTGCTGGTCATAAAATTAGAATATCATGAAAAAGTAGATTGATTTCAGTAATTCCATTTAAAAAGTGAAACTTGTATATTATATTCATACATTACATACAAACTCATATATTTCAGATGTTTATTTTGTTTAATTTTGATGATTACAAATGACAACAAATGAAAATCTCAAATTCATCATATCAGAAAATTAGAATATTACTGAAGACCAATAAAAACAAAGGATTTATAGAAATGTTGGCCAACTGAAAAGTATGAACATGAAAAGTATGAGCATGTACAGCACTCAGTATTTAGTTGGGCCTCCTTTGGCCTGTATTACTGCAGCAATGCGGCGTGGCATGGAGTCGATCAGTCTGTGGCACTGCTCAGGTGTTATGATAGCCCAGGTTGCTCTACAGGTGCTGGTCATAAAATTAGAATATCATGAAAAAGTAGATTGATTTCAGTAATTCCATTTAAAAAGTGAAACTTGTATATTATATTCATACATTACATACAAACTCATATATTTCAGATGTTTATTTTGTTTAATTTTGATGATTACAAATGACAACAAATGAAAATCTCAAATTCATCATATCAGAAAATTAGAATATTGTGAAAAGGTTCAAAATTGATGGCCCCTGGTACCACACTCTAATCAGCTAATTAACTCAAACCACCTGCAAAAGCCTTTAAATGGTCTTTCAGTCTAGTTCTATAGGCTACACAATCATGGGGAAGACTGCTGACTTGACAGTTGTCCAAAAGACGACCATCGACACCTTGCACAAGGAGGGCAAGACACAAAAGGTCATCGCTAAAGAGGCTGGCTGTTCACAGAGCTCAGTGTCCAAGCACATTAATAGAGAGGCGAAGGGAAGGAAAAGATGTGGTCGAAAAAAGTGTACAAGCAAGAGAGATAACCGCACCCTGGAGAGGATTGTGAAACAAAACCCATTCAAAAATGTGGGGGAGATTCACAAAGAGTGGACTGCAGCTGGAGTGAGTGCTTCAAGAACCACCACACACAGACGTATGAAAGACATGGGTTTCTGCTGTCGCATTCCTTGTGTCAAGCCACTCTTGAACCACAGACAGCGTCAGAAGCGTCTTGCCTGGGCTAAAGAGAAACAGGACTGGACTGCTGGTGAGTGGTCCAAAGTCATGTTCTCTGATGAAAGTAAATTTTGCATTTCCTTTGGAAATCAAGGTCCCAGAGTCTGGAGGAAAAGAAGAGAGGCACTTCATCCACGTTGCTTGAAGTCCAGTGTAAAGTTTCCACAGTCAGTGATGGTTTGGGGTGCCATGTCATCTGCTGGTGTTGGTCCATTGTGTTTTCTGAGGTCCAGGGTCAACGCAGCCACATACCAGGAAGTTTTAGAGCACTTCATGCTTCCTGCAGCTGACCAACTTTTTGGAGATGCAGATTTCATTTTCCAACAGGACTTGGCACCTGCACACAGTGCCAAAGCTACCAGTACCTGGTTGAAGGACCATGGTATCCCTGTTCTTAATTGGCCAGCAAACTCTCCTGACCTTAACCCCATAGAAAATCTATGGGGTATTGTGAAGAAGAAGATGCAATACACCAGACCCAACAATTCAGAAGAGCTAAAAGCCACTATTAGAGCAACCTGGGCTATCATAACACCTGAGCAGTGCCACAGACTGATCGACTCCATGCCACGCCGCATTGCTGCAGTAATACAGGCCAAAGGAGGCCCAACTAAATACTGAGTGCTGTACATGCTCATACTTTTCATGTTCATACTTTTCAGTTGGCCAACATTTCTATAAATCCTTTGTTTTTATTGGTCTTCAGTAATATTCTAATTTTCTGATATGATGAATTTGAGATTTTCATTTGTTGTCATTTGTAATCATCAAAATTAAACAAAATAAACATCTGAAATATATGAGTTTGTATGTAATGTATGAATATAATATACAAGTTTCACTTTTTAAATGGAATTACTGAAATCAATCTACTTTTTCATGATATTCTAATTTTATGACCAGCACCTGTATGTGCTTAAGATTTTACAGTTAGATAAATAGCAATATAATTGGACTTAAAGGTATATTAGAGGATATTTGTGAATTTTGAAAAGACCCACCCTCTCCACTAAAAAAAAAAAAAAAGCACATGCACAACCCTGTACCCGCTCCCTGGAGGGCACGCCTATTAAATGCGTGCAAGAGCATGTGCAAGATCATTTCGCCCCTGAGTTTACATCCCTGAACAAATTTACTTTCCCAAAGATTTACATTTTTTCCACTATGTCAGACTCACCACCGGTAAGTGAAAATGAGGACGAGCACATAGGTGAGCCAACAGGTAAATGTATTAGTATCTTCCAAATAAATCACTTAGCAAACTTTAGATTTTCATGAAGACCTACATACATATGTTTAAATCTATAATCTGCCTGCCACAGCACCCCCTAGCTCCACCCTGCTCAGAAACACTGAGTTGAAATCTTCATCCTTAAATAAATGTTTAAACCAACACTGAGTACATTTTCAACCTTAAAAAAACATTTTCATAACTTTTCTGATTATACGTCGACTTGCAACTAAATACATGACACCTCTGTCCCACATTCAGAATCACACAGAGTTTTTACGTTTTATTTACAAGAGCAACAAGAATCTGGAAGCAGAGAACTGCAGGAAGTCAGAGGAATTTCTAATTGGTCTGAGGGGAGAAAGTAAACTGATCAGGAAGGAGTTGGTTGATGACAAATGACTGATTTGCTTACTTGAGAGGTAAATGGGAGGTAGCATGAATCTGTAGGGGTTTGATTCAGTGGGCTTTGCAGACTGTACTCTAGAGGTCCCACAGAAGGAGAGTGAGATCTGAAAATGCTGGTACTTGTAAGAGGCGATGTGCTGGAAAGCGAGCAGGCAGGTGATGAAGACTAAGAACTGCAGCACACAGGTGAGACCCTTTTCATGAGAGATGAACTGAGGTTCACTGGCAGAGTCCACATTGAAAGAATTTCACAAGAAGACAAATTTCAACAAGAAGGATATTCCTGGTTTATGTCTTTGGCTTGAAAACTACCAGGGGTAATCATCTGGGAAAAGATAGATGATCCTTCACCTCCTTATATACAAGCTAACCATCTTGATTGAGAAATGTCCTCAGGTGTGCAGAAACATGGGTTGGCCCACCCACCAGAAAAGTCACACCAGAAAAACAGAAAAAAACCCAAAGACCCTAACACTGTCATGGTGCAAGGGGGTCTCTATCGCTCTCACTGGCACTGACAACTTAGAGGAGGATGGCAGTAACTAGTGTTGTAGTCGAGACCAACTAAGACCAAGGAATACCGAGACAAGGTCAACACCTTTAGAGGCCATAACTCTGTACTCCTTGGAGAGGTCTTGACTACAACACTAGCAGTAAACATGCCACACAGAACAACTACTAATGTACAGACTGCTTTACAGCCTATGTTACTTCCCCTCTTCCCATTTATTATAAAGGCGGATGTCGATGCAACTAAATTTCCATGAGAGACTGTATAGTCATGCAAACTGTGCAGGGTTGATATTCAGGCAATGCTGCAAGTTCCTGCTGGGAATGTTTTGTTTTACTGTGAAATTATCAAACATAACATTATATTCATCTGTTTCATGGCTCTAAAACTCA